TCTTTTAAAAAGGATTATTTTGATAAATAAATCTTCTTTAAGATTATACATGTATACTACTCAAAACAATTACATGACTATTTCAGAAAATGATGACATTTAGAAATATTGGAAATTTCAAAATTTTCTCTCAGTATCCAAATTCGAGATATTAATATGAATATGTTTGTTAAAACATGCTACTTTGATTTTTCCTAATGTTTGAGTCGAACTATAGAATCGTCCGAATCTTTCCTAATTGTTGCGAGTGGTATGTTGTTAACTTCCAATTATATGTCTCGAAGCATTAATCAACCAGCTTACCGCTCTTATTACTATGCTCTTATTACTGTGAACGATATACTTTTTCTATCCGTTTTTAACCCTCAATTGATCTCTTTTATATCGCTACGTATTTTTCTCATCGTCGTGCCTGGTTAATGACTCCGCCGATCTTCCACGGCGATCGTACTGAATTTCCGCCTACGTGTTTGCTTCCCGTGTGCCCAGGTGAAAGAAAAAGGGATAATGTTGTCGTACATGTTGCCGACGGAGGACAAGCCACCGCCCGGCGAACCCAACAGCCAACAGAACAATTATCGCACGGCCAGCAAGCTGCAAAAGAGCACCGCTGTAGTGAGCACATCTCCCAGAAAATGCACAGACACGACTAGACCGATGATCGTCTCCACCAAGATCGAGGATCCAACTGGCGATCCTGTCGCCCGGCACGGTTTCCCTCGACCGGTCGAGAGCCCGAAGCACAATGGAACGACAACCACGAGGAAATCGACTCTGCACAACGCTAGCAGGGTTACTAAGGACGACAGCCTCTACAGCATCGACAGTGTAGCTAGTACCGCCGGCAGCGAACGTAAGAACAAGATTCTCAACGGCGCAAAGCACGCCAGCCTGAAAAGGTAAGTGAAGAAGATAGCTGTAACAAAAGCGATTTATTTCATATTAAGATCATCATAAACGAGAAGCCATTAGATCTTGTACACTCTATAAAAAATAAATAACGTTAAATTATTTTTTAAACAATTATAAATGAAATTCAATCGAGAAATATTCAACACAAATAAGCAAAAGTATATTCAGTTAAAGTGGATGTTAATATCTAATAACATTTTTGTGTGAATCTTATAATTTCCACACAGTTTCAAGCTTATTATTTTTTTAAATAAATTCTCTCTCTCTCTCTCTTTTTGGTATTTGTGATTATAAATATATTTTACCGTAATTACGATTATTACTATTATAATGTTATTAATAATAACTATATGTATAGTTTATCAATAAAAATATAAATGTATACACAATTGGCAATCAAAAATAACTATAATTGTTAATTATAATATGCTATACAAAAGATTGCAATTATTATAATTTAACTTATATACTACTTAACGACTAAGTTTATAGTCATTTTGGTTACTATATATATTATAACTATATATATTTATTGATATAACGTTATAGCAATAATAACCACAATTTTATGGCAACATGTAATTTTATAATCATAGAAACTAAACATTTTTTTTTAATGCAGGATTTCGTGACACTGTTGTATCTAAGAGTTATAAATAGTAATTCGATAGGTAAAATCACAAATCTTTGAAATCGAAGCACTGTTATTTTTCTTGGAAGAAATATTGAGATTAAACCGCATGTGCTCTCTTTCTCCTCCCTCCCTCCCTCCCTCCCCCCCTCTCTCTCTCTCTCTCTCTCTCTCTCTCTCTCTCTCTCTCTCTCTCTCTCTCACTCACAACAGGTTCATTGGGTTTCATATGATAAAATGTCTCTCTTTCGCGAAAAAAAAAAGAACGTCACTATATGTTGAGTCTACAGGCTGACTTTCGCAGCCCGTACGAGACTTTTGCTGGCACTTGCACGAAGGATAGGTCAGGGTCAACCTCGCCGTGACTTCGATGGATCGTCATAATGCATTGAACGAAGCCTCGCTCGGACAAGACGTACCGAGAAGACCGAGATCATCTTCTGAATGCATTTAATAATTCTGACAAAAGACACATAAGATAGTGAGAGAGATATTTCAGTATGAAACCGGTGTGAAATAATGCGAAGTAGAAAAAGGCTTGATCTCCTATCGATTGTGTATGTTCTAACGTGTCATAAATAAAGTTACGATATTATCAAAACTGTATGACTAAAATAATATTCGGAGCTGAATTAGAATAGCTAAACGGGTTCCAACGTAATAATAACAATCTTGTCGACATGATATACGTAAAAGCACAGTTTCTCGTTGTGCTGATAAAAATTTCTTTTATCTTGATAAAAATTATTTGATAAAAACTGAGAGAAATGTTTTGATACATATCATTTGATATATGACTGATAAAAATTTTCTTACTTTTTTATTAAAAAATTGTGTTATTCTAATATATATTGATTATTCTAACCGAAGTTTGTTTTATAAGAACAGAATTGAGATTTATAAGATGTTATAAGATTTTATAAGAAAGAATTGTTGTTTTGGTCAACAAAGGAGAGATATCAAAAAAAGCTGTTTTTTGGGTCTACACGGATTTAATTTATATTGAGTCAAATTGATTCTTTACATGGACTTTATATTTTCCTATAACTGTTTCACATAATGACGAATAATAGTTCTTTTTAAATATACGGTTTTAAAATCGATTTTTGTGTAATTTAAAACATGATCTCATTGTAATCGAGTTTGAATACTGTAAAAATTAAATGATTTATTCACAATTGCGCTTGAAAATTATAAGTAATAATCATTATTTAAATATTTATCCGTTTTTAAACAAATCTGTCAGTAAGTATACTATTACGTTTTTTTACAAGCAAACTAAAAAAATTCTGAGAAGTTTACTTATCTGATTTTTGGACTTATAATATGTTGAAAACTATATTAAAATAGTGAATATGTATTTTTTATGTATCCATATAAAAAATTTCATTTCTTTTAAAGCAAATGTTATTGAAACTGAAAAAGAAAAATCTTTTTAAATAAAAATCATGTGATTTTAAAAGTTTTTAAAGGAATTTTTTTTTTAGATTTGCTAAAACTCTAGTTATTATAGAAATTTAAAGAAACTGTACTTTTTTAAGGACGTGTCAATTTCATCATTTCATTCCCATGTACGGATACATATGGATATACATAATAAATATACTCTTCTGATGTTATCTAGAGTTGTCGACAAAACTGCCAAAACTTTGAAAACTTTTTCGTCCCTCGAAGGTTAGAAATTTTTTGAGGCGAAAAACTTTTTGATAGTTTTGTTAATAATTTTGGATAATACCACAAGAATTTTAACAAAAAAGTAACACTCGAAGCTACAAGTTTATGTTTGAAAAATTATTGAGAATAGAAAACGTCGTATTGTGAATAGAAAAATTTCTAACACCTGAACAATTTTTAAATGTTTTTTGACAATTTTAAATTAGGAGTTTTAGATAGCACTTAAAAAATTCTAATGATAATTATTAGGACTTTAAACATTTAAATAAATACATATTTAAAGAAATATCGTATTTTTCATACTTCATTTCGTGAAGTTAGCGCCGAAAATTTATCGGTGATTTTTTTTTTAGCAGAACTATTTTTAATTTTATTAAGGAACTCTAAAACTCTTCAGGATATATTTATAGAACTATAAAAAAAATTTATTGTTTTAGAAGATAAGATGCTAACTTCACGAAGATGAAATTGTGTTGTATTGTAACAATGAGTTTCAATTCTTTTCTTCAAGTATTTCTTAACGATAAATTCCATGATAAAGAAATTTATCTAACACACTATGCCGATTAATGCATTTTCGAGGAGCGTTTATTTAGTTCTTTATAATAATACTGGCAGCGTGTAGCTTGAATCACTCTAGAAAGAAACTGATCCGTTGCCAAATCGCTATTGCGTACTTAGGAAATACTGTTGCGTATTTAACGTTTATTTTTGCAAATGTGTATCGGCAGGTAGATACGTTTGCACATGCAGCTAGGTTTTTTGCTCATTTCTTTGAAAGATTTCAATAAACACGCATATGTATATATATTATAGATACATTAAATATTTTGTTAATATTAGAATTCTTATACATGGATATTTAAGAATCCTTGAAAAGATTAAATAATAACGTATAATAAAATAATTGTGTCACGCACGGAAAGACAAAATTAAAATGGAAGTATTTTTTATTGCTTCTTTTATTTATTCTTAGAGATTTGTAACATTTACTTCTGATATATTTTAATGTCTTTTTCATTTTTTCATTCTTAGCGATAACAATTGATTCAATTGTAGCAATAGTTTAAAGCTTAATTATTGATATTGGTTAATATTTAAAAGTAAAAAATAGTAACCTATTATTGTGTTTAAAAAAAATATACAGAGAATTTTACTATAAGAAATACAATTTTACCAATTGGACACTTGGACATTTCAATAAGAATACGCTGTATATATCATAAAGATTAAATATCTCGTTTATATTAAAATTCTTAAAATTCTGTATATTTATAATTCATAAAAATGAATAAGTAATAACGTTTAATAAAATGCACTTATGTCAAAGTAGAAGAGATTGAAATGAAAGTGTTTTCTATTGCAAACAAGAACCATAGTATTCCATAATCGATTTCAACCGAGCAGACTATACCTCTCGCTAATCGACTGCCGCTGCAGCTCGCTGCGTTCGATACTTTACGAGCCATAAGAGTAAAATTATCACGGCTCGATGCAGTAATTCTTCTGCGATCGAGCAAAAATAAACGTTTAAAAAAAATTTTTTTTTTCGATACACAGGATGTCTTTGACGATATCATTTCAACTCCGTTTATTTACAACGTCCTGAATTAATTATGAATTGTACTATCCTTGAGAAAAAATGATTGATCCAAAATGTGCGCTTCTCCATGAAATCCAGTCTTGCCATGATTTAATTATCAATTAATTTCAAATTACAATACACTACTTTAATTATTTATAGAATCTTTAATGCATACGTTGTATCAAGATGTTCAAGTTAGCATTAAATTAGAGAGTAGATCGAGTTTTTTTAAATTTTTATTCGAAATGACGATTTTAGTAAATAACAATACATTAAAAGTTTGTTTTTGTGTAATAAATCTGAAAACAACAACTTATACAGAGTCCGATATTACACTCTTTACATTCAAATCTGAAATCTAGATTTTTTTTGTTCGTGATTCATTTCGCTTCTGTAGTCAAACAATATATTTTTTGTCCTGTTAGATGATTTATATTTTTTTCGATATAAGAAGAAAAGCTAATTATCAGACATACTTTCTAAAAATAATCAGTATATATTATTACCGAAAAACAAACCAAATAGTCGCTGATTATATAGCAGTTATAAGTATAAGCGCAGTGTAAAATCAGTAAAAGTTTACTGAAAGAATTAATTAATATTAATTGTTCCAGTCTTACCAGTCTTATTAAATTACTATTAGAAACAATGACTTTAGACTGCAAAATCAGAAATGTATGCTATTTAAAACATCAGTAAATATTCCAGTAAATACCAACTAATAATAGTAATGATCTCAACATTATAATTTTCTATTCAACAATTTAATATGTACAACATACAACACATAAGTTATAGTTAACAGTTACATTGTTTACTAAAAAAATATAATATTGAAATCATACTATTATTAGTATGATAAAAAAATATAATAAATATTAATAAAATTAATAAATATTAATAAATATTAATAAAAAATACATATTAATAAAAAAATTATTATTTGACGCATAGATAATATCACATTGTAAATAATTTCTTTATTTAGCTGTTGAGCCTGGATTTTACTTTTTGTAATGGTTTGATAGTTTAATCTAATTGAAGAAGGAATCAATTTTTTCTATCTATTATCTCCTTTATATTAGAGAATTCGAACAGAAGTCAAAAGTAGAAGTCTATACTGCTATTGCAAACTTTGTATTTGGTAATTATTAAATGTAAAATTATTTTAAAAATATTCTTTTATAAATATAACATGCAATTTCTGATGTGAACAGTTGCTGAACGAATTTGTTAAGATTTGCTTTTGATTGTTTTTTACCGAAGTCATTTCCGAGAAGAGTAATGAGTAATTGTGTGCGGCATATTTACTTATATACAGGTCAATCTTGATCACGCGCGATTGTAATTCGACGCCATGGTGATCGTGAGATTTTGATTTTGATATCATCTTTGCGGTCGTCGGTTCAGTTCGTTGTGGTCACGCGATAAAAAACTGAGGTTTACAACAAGGTTTATTTTTCATGCACTGATCGATATCATATGACCTGTTTTGATGCCGAATACAAAATGTTCAAAATAAGTAAAGAATCATTTAGCTTTAAAGACGTTTTCTCAAAATGTGGAGAGAAAATATTATTCCTATTGTCTATTTATTTGTTTATACAATTCCGTTATAATTTAATTATAAATTTATCAAAGAACTTGTTTGTTTATCTATGTATTTGTTGCTTCATTAAGAATGATTACTGTTTAGAGTATCCTTTGGCTCGAGCAAAGGATCGATGGTGGAAACACTCGTTTATGAGACTCCCGTACAAGAGGAACCTGAGATCAATCACTTTCTGGATCACAACGGCCGCTTACCTCCTCCTATGATACCTGTGCCTGATACTGAGTAAGTTTTACTCTTATAAAAAAATGAATTATCGAAATTCTATTCTAAACTTCTTTTAATCTCGAATTTTAAGTATTTTAAATATTTAAAATATTTCAAAATTTAAACATAATACACAAAAAATGTATATTATGTGAAATTTTTTCTGAAGGAAAACGTATGTCTTTAATATAAGAAGCATATGGAGACATTTATTGTTACATTACACATGCAAATTTAATGCAATGAGTTTAATTTGGATCATAACAGTTTTAATTGGCGGTAAACGAAGATATCATCATCATGCCACATAGATACATACATTGAATATGTGACGCATGCATTGACTTGTTTTTCGCGAGCAATCATAACTTTAGCAACATCATAAATTAACGCCTCAAAGTTTCGATCATGAAAGCCGATTATCGCGTTAAATCGCATCCTCGAAAGCCGCATGTGCGTGACGTCAACTGGCGCACCCGCGGGCACCGAAATAGCATCCGTTTCTACGTGTGCATGCATCGAGAAGCAATGCTAGATTGCGTAGAAATCGACGTCTGTAAATATCGAATCGACTCGTCAAATCAAAGTTGCGGCGCAAAATCTCGCTGTTGCTGCATCAAATCCCCTTTGGGCTACGTCTCCATCCTCGATGAACAGATGTTTCATCGTTAGTAAGATATTGAATCAGGAGTCTGCGAGATCAAACTGTACTTTTATGCACTACTTTTATGCACTAAAACTGATTTATCAATCAAGAATGAATTAGCCAACGATTTCCATTTTTCCACAAGGAATTTTTTAGAAATATTCGCAAAAGCTAATAAGGTAAAAAAAAATATAATTTGTAAATAAGTTACCTTTCTCACTTTTTTACAAAATGTATTTTTCAAATTTATTATCTCAAAAATGTATTATTCCAAAATGTATTGTTACAAAATATATTATTACAAAACAAAATGTAAAATATATTCTATTATAATTACACCCGTGATATCAAAATTAATACAAGAATAAAATAAAAGTTAACAAATTAAAAATATAAAAGATAAATGCACTTATATAATGTGAACTCGTTCAAAAATGTCGCTGACATTCTGCATTCCGTTATTCACTGCAAGTAACCTTGAAAACCTATAGTTCACGGTACATATTGTTATATTATTACTAGATTTTCAATATTTACAATGAATAACGGAACCTAGTTACAATCTTAGAGTGTATCAAGTGATTTCCCGTTCCGCTAAGGCGCTCGCAATGTCGACCGGTCATGTTCATCGTCATTTATACGTTGCGCCTTAACGCGAATAGTAGTCATTGTTACTTCGTAAATATGGAATTGTAAAGAGAGTAAAGATTTTTACAGAAATTAACGCACGAGTTTGAGTTACACAAGCACCCATTATTCCTATAATTGCAAGACCGTAAGGACACGAGTCAATAAGAAAACAGCGTTCCACATAACGCAACAGACGTGACATGCACCTTTCTTTAACAATAGAAAAGTATAATAAAAATATAAAAAAGCAAAAACGAAACTATTATCCTGCTACGTCTTCGTCATAGTTCTGGATAACGCTAAGAGTAGGAATTTTTTAAAATTATCTTTTATTTGTCTCTTTGCAATTTCGCACTAATCTATGCGAGCAAATTTCAGTGTAGAGGCGCTTAAAACAGTCATAACAGCTCCGATTATATCGTTATAATTATACATAGTTATAATTATACATTACAACGCAAAAGTAAAACGTGCATAATTTAAAAACATTACGTATATATGAGAATGCAATATTATTTAATTACACATTACGCAATATTTTATCATATATATTTATAACAATAAAAATTTTATTGTATTGTACACGGTAAGATATATAGGTAAAATTCATTGAGCAATATTAATATTTCACAAAAGATAGTTTTACATTTACGCTTAATAACATTCTTTTGATTCGCTACTCTCGAAAATCTCGAAAATCCTAATCTTAATTTAAAATTTTACTTTAAATTTTGATGCATATTTGCACAATTACATCCGAGTGTAATTTTCGCTAAATCTAATCCTTACTATAAATTCATCAAACTTGTCTGTTGCACTTTTTTGCGTTACTTTTGGTTATATCGACAATTTATATTTCACAAATACTTTTGAAGACGCTCTATGATGCGCTTATGTAGCGGCCGTAACTCGTCTGAGACATTTCATTTTTCCGATCGCGAGCAGTGACGGAGATGATATTTTAGATATTACAGATATTCTTGGCGCACGAGCATCGTCGTTTAACCGGATCAAACGAGATAAGTAGCCGGCCATTAGGAAAGATACACAAGAACGGAAGGTATGGAGGTAATTTCCAAGATGCGGCACGTTGTCTCCCGGGAATGTCATGGTATTGTATGCATAAGGATAACTTTGACCGTTTCATTATACTGAGACGTTCCTTCTTTGCGCACCGACAGAAATTCCAGAGATTCGCGATGTTTCCCGTTATATTTCAAGCATACGAGAAACATGAAGTCTCGTGTTCAAACATGAGTAACGATTATATGTCTTAGTGCTGGATTTGCAGAATAAATTCAACTTTCGGAAGAATTAGAATTTAAAGAAGAAATATCTTAATTTTGTAGACAAACACTAAATTCATAATGTCAAATTACATCCAATTTGAGTTATTTTTAATTATTTTTATAGATAGCCACCACTTTTATTATATCATTAATTTAACTAAATCAATAGAGTTAAACTCAAGAATACATATTAATTTGATTAAAATTTAATTTAGTATTTATTAAATGCATACATTAATATAAACATCTATTAATGTATGCATTTAGTAAATAATAAATTAAATTTTAGCCAAATTTAATATTTTCTTGAGTTAAATTGTTTAACTGTTTTGAAACTAATCACAGAAATAAATTAATTTATTATTAGTATTGACATACTTATAAGGTAAAAATAATAAAATGTTATTTAAGGGATGGATTAAACTACATTAAATCATTAGGGATTAAATTAAAGATGTTAAAAAGTAAGATTTAGAAACGCGTATTTATCTTTATTAGGATATTTTAATCTCTCTGGTGCGCACAATTAAAGGATTCATTGGTAACAATTCGCCAAGAAAATTTGTATTTCGCGACTTTTATCGTTCTGTATAATATCAATATTACGTGGCGATAAGATTACGAGATGATTAAGAATATTTTGAGAAAGAGACGGCAGTTTGATAATCGCGGTTGCTCGATTACATCAATTGTACAAATCACGAGTCTGCTTTTTCCAACGAGGTACGAAAAGTGCAAAGTGCTAAAATCAGCCGTGAACGGCGTAGCTAGCTTTTTTAGTGGACTCCCTCTCGCGTCGATGAGATCATCGCAATTCTTTATTCGTATACGGTTACATATACCGAGGGTTTTGTAATCACGTACGTGATTCTCATATTCAAACGTGCAAGGCCCCCGTTAGCAAATCGTACAGCTCGCGCGGTCAGTATCTTGCCATTGAATAATGCAGCGAACATGCTTTAGCCCTTTAGCCTTTTAGTTCCCCCACGTGATGTTTATTTGCCTGACGTACGTTGCTCGGTGGGTTCAAGTTTTGGAAACCAAGCTTTTCGATTTCAATATCATTGTATGCAAACATCTCATGACGACTATAATTTATAATATCGCAGGAATACTTAACACGTTGTTTGTACAATGAGATTTGTATATTTTACATTTTGCGTATGTTATAATAAAATTTTCATTATCATGAACTAATGATAAAATGAATGATAAAATATTGTGTAATACGATCAAATAAGACTATATAGAGTCTTATAAAGTTATAGAGAGTATTATAGAGAGTATTATAGAGAATTTTTTTCTTAAAATTTATCTAAAAATCATGCTAATTGTAGAACAATATGGTATTTTAAAACATTTTATAACAATAATTTATTAATGATTTATTAATATCTGTCACAGTAAAATATAAAATAGGTTTGTTTAAATTTTATTGAAATAAATTTCAATAATTATAAAATGTTAAGCAATTTATGTATGATTCTTATTGTTTTAAATATAAATGCCAAATAGGAAGAGAGAGATGAACATAAAGAATCTTATATATAAATATTACAATACTTCATGATATTTTTAATCTGATTTTTATGTTCAATGTTTATTACGTTCTTTTTCTTAAAATATTTTACTTAGTCACTTATCTGCGAAGTAGCACTGCCACTCGTCGGAGTTCTATTTTTTGCAAATAAATCCATACAGAATATAACAAAAGGCGCAGCATTATGAGATCTTTCATTGATGTTCTAATAAAATGTTTCTTTAAATACGAATTTTAAGGATAAATTGGATTCTAAGACGAAAATAAATGAGAGATATATTTTGACAGTACAATTTTAGTTTTGTACACAATATTATTTTATATAGTTTATAAAATAATTTTATTTTACGTATGTAGTTTATAAATGCCTGTGTTTCCAAAATTTCTATCATTGTCGACATCATTATCGATAATACTCATAAATTGCCAAATTGTCTAAAATTGTTCATTATTAAACATAATAAAATTAGTAGCTAACTTTGCGATAAAATATAACGAACTTTTCTTCGTCTTCATGGATAATATGATATGAGAATAGTTTACTGCACTATTTTTACAATTTTCCCACAATTTTCCTACTTCTTGGATAAACGATGATTATTTTCATACTTGTTAGGATCTTTGTTAGGATCTCTAACAAAGGATTTTCAAAGATTAGTTTAGATTTCCATCGCGAGGCAGAATTTAATCAATCATATTTAAAAGTACACTTTAGATGCAGATCTGAAAATAATTTTGTTGGACCATCAAATAGACAATCAGTAATTATGTAAGACATCATAAGATGTATAAGCTAGTTGTTAGAATGTTAAAATTTTTTCCAATATTGCTCATCATGTTTGAGTGTCCCATGATTAGTTTGAAATACATAATTAAAATACATAATTCAAAATACATTCAAAATACATAATTATTCAAAATACATAATTATTTTTAGATCTGTATCTCTAGTCTAATTCTTATATATTTTAAACAAATCACTTGTTCCATGTTGAAGAGATAGAAAGAAAGAAGAGATAAAAATATTTTTTATATTTTCATTAAATCATCAGGAAAAAGCACTTTCCTTTCTAAAGTATATGGTATGTCCCTCTTGGAGCATTATTCTTTTATCTTCTTTTTTTCTTCTTTTTTGATTTTTTCATTTTGGATTGCATTCTTTCTGGATTCTCCTTTTTTTAGAGCAAATGTCTCTGCATTTATCGGAATGTGTTTTTCTGAAAATTGAAATCGAAATATTATGCATCGTGTGTTTTGTTGCATGAAATCTTAGAATATAAATGAAAGAAGAATTGTTTATCATCCATGTATCAAGCCTGAAGCCAACATAGAGAATCCCAAATGTTCACATTGCGCATGCGCAGAACATGCGCAGAACGTGTGAATTGTACGTTGTACAGTTGTTTAATGTTTCTCATACATTGACAACAGACTAGAATGAAGTGGAACGGGGGAATACGAGCTGAATGGCACATGCGCATTACAATCAATTTGGATTCTATAGCTTTCTCTCTCGCACAGATGTTTGCTTCAATAAAGCTCTAGATATATCAAAGTAGCGCGAAGGTCCTTCATCTTTGACCTAATAACCATATCATATTAAAAAAATTCTTATAATAATACTAAGCGCTTATTGGAGTACAGTCAACCAGTTCAAAAGTGACGGTTGAAATAGCCAATAGAAAAGTTATTAGCATTTCTTCTCAAATAAAAGAATTGCGCTAATTTGGTATCTTTGGGCTTCATGTTCAGCACTCCATTTATTTTTCCTCTTCCATTTATATATGTTCTAAGTATGAGACACTTGCAGTTTGCAAGATCGATTCGAATGCGAAGGATCTCATGGGTATGACGATAGATGCCGACACTCACCAGAGTTTCACGTACTATGGAATTGGAGCCGTGAAGGGAATGGAAGCGCCTGCGTGGCGTTTTCTGTACCGCACCGCACCGCGCCGCGCCACAACATTCGAATGCGTTCTGAGTGTATTAGTGGCACACACACACACGCGCGCGCGCGCGCGCGCGCGCACATACATTTAGCGCCGCGAGGTAGTTCGCCGCCCGCGCTTCCTTTTCTTCCTACCTCTCTCACAGGGTGAGACCCTTGCGTTCCGCTCGCATTCTCTTCAGTGCACGTCGTTGTCGGTGCGTGTACGCGGCATACGCGCGTCTATGTGTCCTCTCTCTTTCTTTCTTTCCCTCTCCGGCCTTCCCTCTTTTCCTGTTGTCGATCATTGAGCCAGGATAAGCAAGAGGAGCGCGAGAGTCGGAGCGGAGAGGCAGGCACTAGGCAGACGAGACGTGTTCAGTACGCCCGCGGCCCTCTCTCGACGTGTACGGAGTCGCGTCGTCGGTCGAGTTACCCACGGCGACGCCGACGTCGATCCTTCTTGGGAGGAGCATCGACTGGAAGAGAGAGAGAGAGAGAGAGAGAGAGATCGATCGTCCAGGTCCATGGATTAGAAGTGTGCGCGTGCGATATCCAGGTAATAACGAGGTGGCGTTCCCCGGTGACAGAATACGCGCCCTTCGACTCGGAGCTGCTCCGATCGCGGCTCCATTTCGTACGATCCAGGGATCGAAACGCTCGATTCTTCGATCGCGCTCCAATTTATCGCAAACGTCGCTCTCGATTCTTTTTCTTCCTTTTGTTTGCCGGTGCGGGATATCCGGAAAGGTGCGTATACGCCCAGTGAGGGAGAGCTCGTTCCCTCGAGCAGGTTTGAGGCACGACGGAATTTACGTGCATAAATTTTATTCCGTTGTAAACCGCATGCCTTCTTTCACGTACGAATCTTTTGAATGTTTAAGTATCCTCTTTCCTAAATTTTCTTCCGTAGATAATCTGATAGGAAATCAGTTTCGAATTCTTCTTATTAATTGTTAGTATCGTAATTTTGACATATAATTGGGCTTTATTTTGAAGTTCTATATTTTAAAGTATACATGAAGTTTAAGAGAAATTAGATGGAATTCAAAAGAAATGGCCAAATATTTAAAAACATATGTTAATTCCAAAGACAAAGTTCATATCTGCTATTAAGTTTGTACTTTCTTCCACTTTTTTGTTCAATGCTGTCATATATAAGTAGACACGTTCAGCACATCTGGGATCTCCTCTTTTGCCTATTGTAGCAGAATGATTTTGCAAGATCTTAAGCAAAAGGCTTTGAAAAAAACAAAAAACAAAGATTCAGGCAAATGAGAGTATAAACGCGATAATTAGAGTGTTATTAATATTAAAATATGATTTTTAGTGTTTGTTCTTCTTATACATCAGGTTCGTATATTTTAGCTCAGCGACTAAGTATTTATAATTTAATTAGAAAACATCTTTTCCTTCAATATGTACAGCCATTAAAGGATTGACAGATAGAAAAAGCTTTGAATATGATTGCTTTAGATTCACTGTTATATTTCCGTTACGTAGATGCCATAATTGTGACGGCATCCTTTGAGAAAATTTCTCTCATTTTTTAAATACTTTTAATAGTTTATATAATCGTCTTCAATTCACTACAGAATATGGAAAGAATCGCAGTATAAGTTTTTTAAATCTTTTTTTTGCTAAAGATAGAAGATAATTTAGATAATTGTGAATTAGTTCCAAAAGAAACGTATATAATTTTTCATTATAATTTTTCACGACTAAAGGGGACTGAGTGAAGTTCGAAACATTCTGTGAATCTTATGTCACTCACAACGTAAATAAATTTACATTATTAATCACTTAATTGACTCGTTTAAAGATTTTTTTTATCTTGGTTTAATTTCTTAGCTGCTTTGCATAAATATAAGCGAATATTTATATACTTTTGAAAATTATTGTTAAATGAAAATTTTTTTGCGAAAAAATTATATAATTTGATTATATTTGAATCAATTGACAAATAATTATTTGTCCCATATAGTAAAAGGCTAATGTTAAAGAAATAAATTTAGCTCGTTTTACCTTTGAAAAAAAAGATCTGATAAGGTTCGTTGAACTTTCCACCTCTTCGGATATTACTAGCGTTCGCTATCTGAACTATCTGAAATATGCATTGTCTACAAGATTTATGGATGAGGACAGTTTACATAGTGTACACGTATACGCAATCACTAATTGACGTTTGCAACATCACTTGCTTGCATTAATAAAATCGCGATGTAAGATATTGCAAATCCAAAGTCACGTCATTATATAGAAATCGTCTAACTTGTCATGTAGTTTTGAAGTTACTAAGATTACTTATATTTTTCAAGACTATTAATATTGAAATATATCTATAAGACTATTAATATTAAAATTGAATTCTATCTTAGATCTATTGTATAAGAAAGAAATTCATAATTCAGAATGTGTAATTCCAACTTAAATAATTTCTGTGATAAATTGTCTATCAGGTGTTGAAAATCTACAATCTACAGTAGAACGATTTGTAACTAGAAGTTCAAGAAAGTTAATGTTATTAAGGACAATTTTCTTATTTAATTTCGTGATAAGCAGCATTTATGGATTCGCTCTGTATATTCGTCTTCTTGATCAAGTGCCGGCGAAAGGTCGCGTTACCGTCGATCGAATCGTGTCGCCGGTATGTCTGTTCCTAATAGCGGACTCCCATCGATCTGGCGGGAAGATAGCGAAAGGGACAGGCAACCGATGTTATCCATAGGGGTGAACGAGGATGGAAAGTACCGGTGGTGAATAAGCAATGGCCCTCGAACTCACAGAGCGCTCGTAGGCTGAAATGAAATTCGAGAAAAGTATGTGTGATTTAAATATTGTGATTGTGATTGAAATAAGCAAAAGATAATCACGTCTCGTGATTTTTCTCCGGGACATCCTAAACGTCGTCGATCTCTCTTTAATTGTAACAGAATTAGAGTTAAGATTTTGTCACGAATCCGCCATCCGCAGAATCGACAATAGTTACTGTGTCAACAATAGAAAACGGCGAGAGATCGATATGAGAACGCGCTGCAAGTATCCAATAGCCTTCTTCGCGCTTCGACGGTATCAGTGCCGTGACTGTCGATGAAAAGACACACGGAAAAAGACAAAGAAGATTTCTTCCCGTCACTATAGTAATAGACTATCTTGCTCCATTGCAGCCATTCTCTTTCCCATTCTTCTGGAAACATCATGCCCCACGCGCGCAGAAAAAATAGACTTGCCTTTAACTGAAAAACTGACCTTTCTTCTTTTTTAATAACTCAATCTTTAGGACCTTCTAATGATCGTTCGTGTGTCGACTGGATCGTCTTTAAAGTGCTTTGCATTCAGCATAAATAAATGCGGCGATTTTATTTTCATCTTATGTCTTTCATAGTAGTGATTTTAGGCCATTTATCTTATGTATATCTGTTTCACATTTCGAATATGTAAAAATATTGCGAAAAAATTTTGTTATCTCTAGTAGTTTTCTTAAAGAATAATCAACGGAGTTAAGAGAATTCTAAAGTTCAAATTCAATAGGATTTACGCACATACAATTTAAAATGCATCATCGATACATCACTACTGTTATCAATATCGCACGCACATGTATACACAAATTTTCTAAAGCATTGATCTTTCATATTAGGTATCTAACAATAAAATAGTCAATTTAACTTGTGATATTACTACGGTAATTTAGTAAAGTTTGCGTTTCAAAACTCATTTCGGCACTCAGTTTAAAGAACTACATATATACGTAGTATATAAATTCATAGAATTATACAAGCACTTAAAATCCAACTAGATCGTTAAAGGCATTTATTTTTATTGATTGTGTTCTCATATGTCAGATGAGATTTAATATCTAACAATAAGCCTAATTCTAAAAATTCAACATTGTTTTCAAAATTTATTTTATACGTACAAAGTGTAAAATTTGTATATAAAATATCGTTTTACTTTAATTGTACACAAGAATTTTTAAATCTATAAGGGCAGTTAGAAGAACTTATATAATAACTTAATTAAATTAGAAAAAAAAAATATAACTTAGTTAACTGAAAGGACAGTTTATATTGCACAATTAACAATTTCGCTTAGAATTTTAAGAGTGAATTTGACACGATATGTTTACTAATTCTGTAACATATTGAACTCTCTTTTATCGATTTTTGCTAAATACGATTTTTATTAAAAATTTTCACATTTTACACAAGTGTGTCTGCGTCTATATTTAGAGCAGCAGCGTGTCATTTTGCAACCTTGCGGCGAGCAGCTTGACATTTATTAATTTCAAGTGTCGCGATAGAATACACTTCTTTCTCGAAGAGCGAATATATGATATAATTAGCAACAAAAATATCTATACATGAATATAAATTCTTATGGAGGATCATATTATATCAATTTCTGCTCTACGATTTCTTGAATTAGTGTCCCTTCAATTAAAATTAAAACTTATATTTCAATTCTATAATTTTTAATGACAGTTTGATATCGTTATATTGCCGTTGCGCAGCTTTTTTACTATATGTATTAATACTTGCGCAACGATAATATATAACAATATTGTCACTAAGAATCATGTCATTAAGAATCGGGCATCTGCTTAAATCTCATTAACGATATTAACGATATTTATATGTACACTCATAATAAGAAAAAAAATTGTTGTCTCAAAAAAATATTAATTGATACAACTAAATGTAGCGGTCATGAGCTGTCAAACAAATATTTGTTAATTTAAACAAATATAATAAGATTTTAAATTACGAGATTTTGTTAACCTAAATATAAATACTTGAACTAAATAATAACTACGAACTAAATATATTTAGTAAAGTTAACAACTTTTTTCAGTGTACCAACTCTCTAAAATGATCAAGCGAATGAATTACTATAAAAATGAAAAAAATTGATATAATAATTCTTTATACGGATGATAATTATGTTCTTTATACGAATGATAATTATGTCCTATTTATATTGATGAACATAAAACTAAATATTCATCAGTATAAAAGACATAGTATTGAAAAGTGAAAAAAATTCAGAATTCTCTATACATATCATATTAATCTAAACAAAATAGAAACAGTCAATAATATCCGTTCGATTCTTCTAATATTAAAAGTGTTAACTTTCAATATTAAAAGAATATTCAGCGCTGTGAAATTTTAACATCTTTGATTTGTGGTCCGGTTTTTAATATGCGTATCCAGTCTTGAATAAATAGATATACAGTCTTTGAATTTTCCTGATCATTACAAAAATTGATAGGCGAATTATCGCAATGTATCATCCAGAATAGCGCCGGGAAAAATAACGTATCGTATAAAATCTGATCGTGAGCGTGGCGTCGGATGATTAGGATGATGTCACGAGTTGTCAAGGCTTGAATCATTCTTGCAAGGTATTTAACTACCCGATGACGTCAGACACGTCAGGCGTCAATGACGCTGTCAGGCGTCAATGCGTAAATAACAATAGTATGTGTCTGTGTATAGAGTATGCAAACTATTTTTACAGATAAATAAATTACTTACGCAATGGCTTACTTTATTTCAACGTAAAGCGAGAATTTAATTTTCAAGAATCTTCAGTTACACAAGATGTGCTTCAAGTTGTTCCGATGAAAGATAATAAAAATTCTTTTTAGAAAAAGTAAAAAATTCATCTCCTGAGAGATATAACGTAAGAAACAATCGTTATCGCGACACGCAAGATCGATTCTACGGTCGATGAACCGATAGTTCCCGTCGGGAACCGATTCCGAGCATCGTCCAGCTCGTGTTTTCGTTTTCCTCTCGACACCGCTGCTTGATCCCCGTTGACTCGTTTTGGTCGATTACGCAACCGACAGGATATTGCACAAGATCATGACTCCCTCAATACATGTTTCGACGAGGCTTCGGCGCGATCGTTTATACCTTTTTCGGAGAATTGGCAATTCTTATTCGTGAGTGGATTACTTTCGTGACCTATATTAAGGCAAGCGTCTGAATATCAAAGAATATACGAGTCCACGCTTTGATAAATATAAGGATACATTCGACTAAAATGCAATTGAAGATATTTCTAAATATTAATTCAAGATATTAATTGAGGATATTTTTAACGTAACGGAAACGGATAAAATGTCGTTTAATTTCTCAGTTATTCAATTAATAATGTCCAAACACTCATAGAGATGCTCTGAATATAAGTGCTTGGCATCGCACATTCGACGTGCCTCGACATAAATTGCAGTATCACAAGTATGCATCCATCAAAGTGAATAAATTCGAGCCTCGAGTAGTGAGGAGAAGTGAATAAAGATTAACCTATTAAAGCATCCAGTAGTTTATCGAGCATGCGTGCGCGCGAAAGTGCCATGGTGGCCTATTTATCGTGAAAAATAAATACTGGTTTAATTGTATTCGTAGTTGAACGCAATTTTTATCGGCGAATGACTCATCATATTGCGCTCGAAATACTCGTGTCGGAATTTTATCGTGCAAATGACGAGCGATAATACAGACGACGAGCTACCGCTCGCGATATGAATTTGCGTGCGATACGAACTCATCGGTAAAATATTCTTATGGTTTTTATTAGAAGAATTAAAATTGTTACTACATGTATAACGATATCACATCGACAGATTTAATTTATTTTAGCAAAGTAGAGAAAAGTTGCTGAATGGTATCATTTTAAATATTTTTTATTACATTTTCCATTTCGTATTGATTTGTGCAATGAAGCTTGGAAATTGTAGCTTTATGTTTTAGACATCTATTATTACATGTTTAACTTTTAAAATTGATTTGTTATAATCTGGAATATTATAAAAGTATTGTACGCTGATTGTGAGACACCCTGTATATTGTGTATCTGTATGCGTGCATGTATGTGTAGTTTATAACAAAATAAAAATATTAAAAAATCTAGGTAAAAATATACCGAAGGGGGCTCTACTCCAATGATCTTTACACATGTTATCAAAATTACGTGACAATATTGTGTCAAAATTAAAATCATCGGAAGGAGATTCCTTTTTGGTATATTTACCAAAATCTATTTACCTCGATTTTAAAAACACGGATGCCAGTCAGGATCTGAGAGACCACAATTTTATATTAATACACCACACACAATTAAAATTTGCATTATACAGGTCCTGACCTCCGACAAGTTTTATTAGTCGATCGTTATCCGCTAAAAAATTATTAATAAATATATTATTTAATAATTTTTATTAAAGCAACATAATTTTTAAACAAAAAAATATATATTTCACTATATTTTACATATATGCTATATAATTTACATAATGCTGTTCTTTTTTTATGTCAAAACGGAATAAAGGAGATATTTCACGCGAAGCGAGATCCATTTCATCTCTCCTCCCTCTGCCTAGGGAAAAGTCATTCGCCTCTGGGGATATTCTAGTGGAAAGTCGAACGCCTCTAAACAGGGAGAAAAGGGGATAGACCTTGCTTTACGTGAAAAGTTGAACGTCCCTTGGCAAAGGGGAGGTGGTGTGGTGGACCTCGCTTCCGTGAAAAGTCGGATCTCTACCTAAATATACTGTATCTATATATACCTATGTACATATGATGTACAAATTATTAGCGAATTCGATTGGACGCATTCAGTACGCACTGGTGTACATTAAAACCATTGTATACAGGTTGATATAAAAATGTGTATTTAATATAAAAAACAGATAGAAAGACAGAAAAACAGATTAAATCGCCAAATCTTCTATTCATTTTATTATATTGTTAGGAAAAATGTGTATTTTATAATTCGAAATATTTGCATTTCACTTTTACACTAAAATAAAATCAGTACAACGGTTTAATATGGATCTAATGTATACTAGTGCGCTCAACCGAATTCGCTATACGATCTTTAACATTAAAAGTTAGTCAAATTTACATATATTAAAATATGTATTATATTTACGGACATATTTTTCTTATTAATTAATTTATCCTATATCCTTATATACGCATACATTACCTATAATTTAAACTCTTACAAAATTAATTAGAAAGAATCAGACTGTTAAATCTACAAAATTTATTTTAAATCGTATAAAAAGAGACTCCTGAAAGACTCCTTAATTAATCTTTTAATACAATTTAATGGAAATTGAGAAAATTTGTTTAACACTCAATATGTTAATCGTTACCTTCTAGCCAATCGGATTAGATGCTTTGTACGTGAGAATCATACGTATGCGTGCATAAGAGACGTTTTCAAGGGAGGGTGCTGCACGCTCCTAGGGGGTAGGACACGCGAGGAGGCGTGGCGATAAAAGCGGAAGTTAAATCGTTAAATTTCGCTTAGTTTTTTTCCATGAGTTTCGCAAGGCTAGCCTCGTGGAAAAATTTATTCGAGACCTGCCGATTTTCCAAATATAAATATTATTTTTTAACATCTTTGCAGTGTAGTAATTATTAAAAATACTATTTTGTTTAAAGTATCTGTATTTACATAATTAATATAAGAAAAATATAAGATAATAATAAAGAGAAATAAAAAATATAAGATAATGTAAGAAAAATAAAAAAAAACACATTTTACTAATTATAACGCTCGATTATAAATACATATAACACATATCTCTCTTTTATCTTTATATTAATACATATGCTTCTTTTAATTTCAGCGAAGGTAGAGAAAAAGTACGTGTCTCGTTGTTAGGTCCACAACCATCGCCGGCGACGCCAGGTGTTCTCTTGCTAGAGCCGATCACGCATTCGACAGGACTCCCAATAAACATGGCCAACAATCCCACGGAACTTCTGACTACGCACACTGAGCACACCACACCTGCCTACCACACGCAAATCAGGTAAGACAAAATCTAGTCTTACAAATAAAAACTTAATCAATTGTCAGAGATTATGAGATAAATTAGAACATCGCCAAATATTGAAGAAATTCCAATTAAGAATCATTTTGAAAAGAAATGTGCCCCTAATGAGCTTTCTTCATGAACGCAAAACTTACGAAATTATTGGAAAGTAAATTAAACATCAGAACAGAGAAGAGACGTTCGAAAATCATTGAAGATGGCAAACATCACCTCCAGAAAGGATATCTTAATTGTTCGTCTCGTTGCGATGAATTTTTTGATGATTTTTATCATCTTTAGAGGCATTATTTTGTCGTGAATAAAAAAAATCTTAAAATGATTAGATAATAAAGGAATAAAAAGGAGAGCAAAAATTATGAGAAATGAGAGACACTATCTCCAGAATAATTAGCCTCCCATGCACGATTCGCGACCCTTGATGATCTTAATGGGCCGGAAGTGACGTTCTTTTCTCTCTCGGCTCCACCATGCCCCTCTATGTCTCTATCGACGTACTACCGCACTACCGAACTGTTTACGATGATTCTCCGTGGTTACTGCCTGCTCGTGATACAGTGTAACTATTACGCATTAAAACTGTCTCTACCGCTGTCGACATTATGCCGTCTGGCCCGCACATATTACATGCAAATTCCGATTTCCTTTTGTTAAAAAAGAGATAATATATGAGGTAAACAATAGGTAAAGATGGTGAGCACCTATATTTAATAGGTGTTCACACCATATTAAATATAAATTCTAATTAATTAAACATGTATACATGTTTAATTATATTTGTATGTAACACATATATACAATACTGATATACATATAATTTTCACCCAAAGTTATTAAATTTTCTTACAAACTTTGTAAAATCTTCAGAGTAATTCAGAATCACATAATATCAATATCTTTTTCAAATAATTCGGATATTGTGATAAAAATTATATTTATTCCAAAATTTCGTTATCCTATGTGGATGTTATCTCTTGCGTTTATTCTTTGCAGTATCTTAGCGAATCCTCATTCAGTTCTTATGTAATTCACTGAAATGGACGCTGAAATGAAAGAGGAAGAAGCGTCAAAAGAATCAGTCGAATTACTATTCTGTTGTCGATTTAAACTTTTCTCCTATGCAACTCTAAGACCGCTATTTTATTTGTACATTTTTGTTGTACGACAAATTTTTCAAGCCTGTTGATTGGCTATAGGGGATAGAAAATCCTCTCGCACATGTTGTTGTATGATAAAAATGCATAAAATAGCATCTAATATCTTGACACTCGATTGATTGCCGCACGGTTCTACAGCATTATATTTATAAAAAAATTAGCAAATAAAGAGCATTACATTTTTTACCTGCAGCGAATTTGATTTGCGATGGAAGATTCAAGTTAATAGGAGTATAATAAACGTTATTACTCAGTAGAATGTTACGTAAAATCGTGCATATGTCGTACGAAGTCTCTAATTGCTAATGCAAGCGAACATACGTCGTGTTTGCAACGAAACCTATCTACATGAAATCATCGTATGTGTAAAATTCCTCAACGAATCTGTAATTTATATAATTATAGATTTATTGAGGAATTTGTGTATTCATATAATTCACAATACTGCAATCATACAAAAATTGATTTAATTAAATTGAAATTTACATTTGCAAAATTTTTATATATATTCCAGCGAATACTTTTGTGTTTATAGAAATTAATGAAAAAAATTAGTTTTATACAAAATTTTTCGTTAAATATCTAAAAATTTTAAGAATTTAATAGAATTTTTACTTCTTTTCTTTGCATGACAGAGATTGACCGATATTCATATAAGCTATTCGTATAAGTTTTATTGGACATTTTCATCATACGATTTCAATAATATAACAAGTTTAGGTATCGAAACTTTAAAAGTCGAGAAAATATAAAGAAAAACTTGGATCGGAAAAGCTCCGATTTTGAATTTTCGTCGAGAAATCTGTAGACGAGAAGAATACCTTCCAAATCCATACCTTCAATACCAGTACATCCAGAATGCATCCTTCCACTCACCCTATCCACCAACGTTACTATTACCCAATTCTCACTTATACATCGCAGTTTCTTCATCCATTCATACACACGCCTTATATCCTCGCGGTGCATATAATCGGTCCGAGCTCAAGTTAGTTCTCCACCGCCGCCATCGCCACCATCATCACCTCCACCACCACTACCGCCAGAGCACCACCAGTACCACCACCATCTCAATGCACTAGCTTCGCCAAATCGCTGATACCAACGCAGCAGCGCCCGGTACCGGCACTCCGTTCCTGATGCGCGCAAGTACCGAAGAGAAGGGAGCAAGAAAGAAGATGAGGGGCGCGAGAACGGAGGACGGCAGAGATCGATATAGCGTGGGTGGATGTGCAGAGGTGCGGTGAGGCCGCTGCCGCCAGTCGTGCTGTCGGCTGCATCGACGGACATTCGCGCGCGCACTGTTTTTCTCTCTCTCTCTCTCGCTCTCTCTCTCCATCTTTGTAGTATTCCCTTCTCGTTGATCAGTCTCTTTTCCTCCTCCATCCTGTATCTCCTTCATTCTCTTGTGCCTTTTTCTCCCTTTCTAGCCCTTCGTGTTATCCCGCATGTCATCGAATGCAGCCGATCGCGAGCAACGTCGATCCTCAGGATCGCATCCCCGATGATACAGTGATAACGCGATCACAACAGTGTGAGATATAAGGCCGATGATATGGCACAGTGAACAGTGCGGTGATTCCTGCGTGTGGATCTCTATTGATTGGGATTAATTCCCCGGTCAGGCTCAACGAGTGAGTCAGAAGGATAAATCAAGATCCATCTCTCGATCGTTTAATTTTTGAAATCTGTGTTCTTCTCTTTCTCTCCCCCCCTCCCCTCCCCTTCTCTCTCTCTCTCTCTCTCTCTCTCTCTCTCTCTCTCTCTCTCTTTTTATTCAACACGTGCGTGGGCGAGGATGCGTGTCACGCGCGATTTTTCTCGGGGCTACGCTGGGAAAATTTACTGTAACTTGTTGTAATCCTCTAATGACCACACGATCTGACCGCAATCTGTGACGCAAAACGCGCGACACGACCTCGCAAATAACGAATGCAGTGCTCTAGTGAAACCAGTGTTTTTCTTCTATTGCGTATACTATTTTACATACTCCCCACGGAGTATGAAAATACAATCCTTAATCGCTGCAAGGTCCTTGTTGAATAAGTGGAAATCGTAGGATTGTGAAACGCGATGAAGGACTTCGGACATGATGCTCATGAGTCAGAAGAGTTTTTCACCTCTGTTTTTTTTTTGATATTTTACTTCTTAATAATAATTTAACCGCAAATTGATCTCTTATCTTCACAAAAAACTGACACGTAATTTTGTGCTTCTGTACATATAATGTTTAATTCTTGCAAATCGTCTTATATTGGTAAAGAGACCGAAAAATACGAAGAAAAACTCACGCGTATAAATTGACTCTCCTCCCTCTCCGAAAGAAAGAAAAATAATAAATCGTTTGCAATTATTGACTTTTCCGCGTGCCATCTTGCTTTCATCTGTATATTTCTAGCGGCCTATACTTATTACGCGTCTATGCCATTTTCTCTGTTTTAGCTATGTTATATAAATTTTCTTATTTTCTTTATATATTAGGTGTAGTAAAAAGAAATCCATTTTTCCATTCAATTTCATGCAAAAATAATGGATTTCTTTTTACTACACTTAATAATTTCGCAGTAACTATTTCAATATTCAATCATTCCAACTGAATGTATAACTGAATGTATCTTATTCGTAGGGGGTTAAAGGTCAATGCTCGACTCGTTTTTTAAATTGGCTTCGAAATAAAAAAGCCGCAACTTTTACGAACATACTTTTCACTTCATATCGTAGAAGCTGCGAGACTCGCGAAACGAAATTTTTTTTAATTCAAATGCGTCCAAATCGGAGCGTACCAAAGATTGTGACCAGAGGACTTTGTCTTCGGAAACCATGACCTACCTTAGAAAAGTTTAAAACCTTACGGGATACTCTCCGTCACGATCACCTAATTGTCTAATTAACCGTAGAAATATGCATTGACCATATTGAATAGTTGCCAAAGCGAATCTTGTTGATCTTGAATTATTAATCTAATGGCATCTAATCATATTAATTTTGTTCATCGTATAATCACTGTGTATTAACATATCGTGGTAATCTCTTCCGTAAAGAATTAAAAATTTATAAAAAAATTATAAATTATTATTCATATTAATTCGAAGAAAATTATTTTTGATTCGTTACGATAATAAATTTTATTTTACGAATCAGCTCTTGAAGTCTTCTACAATTATGTTCAGAATAACTTTTGGGCACGTAGTTTTATTGCATTTGCTTTCGAGCAACCGTCTCACATTCATAAAGAAGAAAAGCATATTTACGAGGGCGTGTCGCGCATAAAACGATGCAACGAGACTTATCTCGAAGAAGTGAGTAGGTTGAGACAATGGCGGCGATCGTGGCGTAAATTTTTCAACGGGTCTTCTTTCTCTCGTCGCATGTGTGAGAAAAATACGTCTACCATAAACTGGGTAATAATAACTCATCCTCATAAATGTATGCGCGCTTCAAGCGGCGCTTGTTAATAATAGATTAATAAATAGATCAGAATGTACCTGTTAATATTCTCGTAAGTAATTGAGCTTCTTTGATTACATATAGTGCAATTTATGTTAACTTAATTAAATTACTTTATCATTATACTAACGAACCATCATTTTTGATTACTTAATGAGATCTTTTCAAACTGATTTTTCTAATTATATTGTCGAAATGTTTAAAAATTCCAAAATTAATTGAAATGGATTGACACGGTGCGGCGTAGTCGAGCCGTCGAGCCTCATGACATGATTTTTGCCCTCGACCTCCTCATCTGAATAACGCTCGTTCTCTATCTCATTGATCTTCATTAAACTTCTTCACGAGAAATTTAGTCGTGCAGGTCCTCGCATT